GCGGCAGGCAGCACGGACGAGGGCACGAGGCCAGCCGCGCACACGTCAGCGGCAGGCAGCACGGACGAGGGCACGAGGCCAGCCGCGCACACGTCAGCGGCAGGCAGCACGGACGAGGGCACGAGGCCAGCCGCGCACACGCCAGTCGTCCCGTCACCTGCAGCGCCCAGCGACCCTGCCCCGCCTTCCAGAGAGCGCGCTGGCGCTCAGCAGGGGCGCAGGGCACGACAGCGACAGGCCGGGGCGGCTCACGGGCCACGCGGGCGGCCGCCGTCCACTGACCGGCCCCACCGGTTCCGCACCGGCGCAGGCCCTCGGCCCTCAGCAGCCCACAGTCTCCAGGGGTCGGGAGCCCAAGTGAGTCACCCGGGAGGCGACAGAGCCCTGCAGCGCCAGGGATGCGGCGTCCGCGCGAGTCCGAGGCAGCGCTCGCTTCAGGCGGCGGCCCGCGGGGGCTCGGCAGACGCGCTGCCCGGAAACGCCGAGCGGAGCATCCGGCCGCCCCTCCCAGCAGCAGCGCCCCCCGCCCGCCCCGGCTCAGGCAGGGCGCCCGGGAGCCCCGGCACTCACTCTCGGGGGTGGGCTTCTCCCTCGGCTGTCACGGAGGAGAGCACCTCGTAGGCGGCCCGCGCTCCCAGCCGCCTCCGGAACAGCGAGGTCTGGAAGGACTTCTGCGAGGACAAGGGCTCTGAGCCGCAGGGCTGGGCCTGTCCTGGCCGCACCCCCCCCGCCCTGCCTCGTGCCCGCGCCTCTGGGGGAGCAGCCCTCGCCCCCCACAGGCCCCAGGGGAACAGCCCGACTCTTCACGGCCCACGGGACTCGCTAGGATGTGTTTCTGTTCTGCATGTCCGGGGACCCCTGCTCTCCCACACGGGGGGCTCGGGGCCACCTGCCCTGGAGCAGCTGCAGCAGAGAAGTGGCCCCTGGGGGGCTGTGACGACAGCACGGCCCCGGAGAGGGAGGATGGGACGCGGCTCCTGCTCCCCCCACAGAAGGGAGCCGGACACCACCGGACACCACGGCGCACCCCGGCACCCCAGGGGCCCGGCCCCCACCCGGCCACCCCTCACTGTGGGGCCGCCCCGCTGGTCGTGGCCCGCCTGGCCTCCGGGGCCGCTCCTCCTAGAGCCGCAGGGACAGCAGCCCGGCTCACCATGAGGTAGCCCCGGAACTGATTGTAGATGATGGCCGTCAGCAGGTTCATCAGAAACAAGCTCCCTTCGAGTGGAAAAAGCCAGTCAGTGGGGACCACCACAGACGGGGGGGCGAGTCTGGAAGGAGCAGCAGCTGCGGGGGCCCAGGGCGAGATGGGGGGGCGGCGACACCCAGGGGCCCAGGGTAGGGAGAGGCCGCGATTCCTGCCAGGGGCCTGGGGCGCGCCAGTCAACACGCAGGCCTCCCCGTCCCCATTTAATTAACATGCGGCCATCGGGCCTGCCCAGCCACGGGCACCGAGGACAGAGGCCATCTGTGGTCACGACTGAAAACCACGAGGTGGGCCACGCTGAGGAGAAGTCACAGGTCAGAGAGCACAGGGTCACAGGGTCGGGAGAGCGCTGAAGGGCGGTCAGCAGGGAGGGCTGAGGTAAAGTCACAGGGTCAGGGAGGACACACGGAAGCTAAGTCACATGGTCGAGAAGGCAAACTAAAGCAAGGTCAGCAATGAAGGCAGCCGAAGAGAAGTCACAGGAGGACACACTCAGGTGAAGTCACGTGGTCAGAGACAACACACTGAGGCGAAGACACAGGGTCGGGAGGGCACACTCAGACCTGAGCATTCAGGATCTTGCCACGAGGGACAGGATCTTGTCCCGAGTGACCCCCGCAAATCTGTCCGAACTCACCTATCAGGGTGAAGACTATGAAAAAGATGGCGTAGGCCCGGTTCTTGGAATATGCAGGAATCATAACTGGGAAGAAAATGGAGAAACAGAAACATGCTCACAAGCTCGGCCTCCGCTCTGACCCCATCACGGCCCCACCACGTGCCCTCAACAGACGGGGGGCTCTGGCTCCCGTCCAAACGCCAACCCTCACACCTCTGCGCACACACCCCTGCAGCAGGGACCTCGCTCCTTTCCGAGGCTGCTCCTCCCCTCCACGAAGCTGAAACCTGCTTCCCTGGGAACTCCCCACACGCAGAAGCTCAGCTCTCTCTTGGGTGACTTGCTACGACTCACAGGACATGGGGGGACAATGCTCAGGGTCCCGCCGCACAGCTCTCCCTGGGCGTGGAAGCTGGGGGCTGCCCTCCTGGGAATGTCTCCGTGAAGGGGGCATCATCCCTCAGCCCAAGACAAAAGTCACCAGCCAGGGCGGCCACAGCCAGGCCCCAGAGGCCCGCAGCACCCCATCCTGGCCACCGCCCTTGCCCCAGCAGCAGCCCCAAATGTGAGCACCACAGCCACCAAATACCTAGGGTCTGTCACCTCAGGGACGAGCTGTACCCCACGGCCACGCCTGAGTGGCGACAGGGACAGTGGCTGGGCCTCAAAGAGGAAGCCACCAGGGAACCCGCCAAGCACACCATTTGTCACCGCGCTCATTCTCAGCTTCTCCGTGGAGACAGGAGTCAGGAAAGACAAGGTGAAGGGAACAGAGCAGAAAGGAGAGAGAGAGCGAGCAAAGAGCTGAAGTGGGAGGAAAAGGGAAGAGAGAGGAAACAGGCAGGAAGGAGAAGGGAAAAGACAAACAGGGAAAGAAAAACAAGGAATGAGCAAGGGACAGAACCCGATGTCCTCCTTTCCACGCTTCACCCAGCGACAGAAAAGCCTGATGCGCTCCGGCCTCCCAGAGCCCCATGCCGAGGCTCCGGGTTAACCGCATCCCCCCCAGCCCCGGGCCCCGTGCCCCCTCCTCACACACCGTCAGGGTTGTTGGCGGTGGTCAGCAGCACCAGGAGGGAGGTCAGAGCCTCCGGCAGGTTGCGAAAATAGATCAGCCTCTCCCGGTCCTGCCCATCGCCCTGCTGAGAGCAAACGGGGCAGCTGTGACGGGCCGTCGGGCCTCTGTCTCCCAACAGCCACGGCCCGTGGCCAGCAGAGCTCCAGCCACCGTGGGGTCAACACCCCTGACCTGCACCTCCCCGTCATCTCCCCGCAGACTCTGCACTCATGGCCAGACGGAGCCTAACTCAGGGGACCTAACTATGTGGCTGCATACCCAAAGGCCACGGGCCCACGAAGCAGGTCTGCTCAGAACCATGGGGAAAAGCCTTCAGCCACCCTGGCTGGAGCACACACAGAGACATGGCACACCGGTTAATGACACGACCACACACACGCACACACACAGACACACACACACACACAGAGCACACACCCAGGTAGAGAGACACACAGCACACACAATTACACAAACACAGACACACTCAAAAGATAATTATAGACACAGGCACATGCAAGCACGCACACACGCATGTGCGCACACACGGGAGCTCCAACTCCCCCAGATTCAGGACAGTCTGCAGTCCTCCCTTGCGGACAGGACAGTCTGAGCCCCGAATACTGCCACAAACTCCACAGAAACTGGCCTTGGCTGACCCTCGGCCACACTCCCAGGACAGAGATGCGGGACAGCTCCAGCCCCGAGGACGACAGTGACCCTAGCCAGGCCGTGAGGAAAGACACACTGGACCACAGACGCACGGCGTGGGGGGACCTGGGTGAGAGGCGGCAGACACCTCCACACGGCAACAAGCCACTGGGGGGCCGAGAAGCAGCGGAAGTGGGAAGGGAAGGGGATCTGGGGGAGGGCAAAAGCCCGCAGCCAGAGAAGCAGAGACGGGCGCCGTGTGGCGGATGGTGGCACAGTCCACCCAGTGGCCCCCAGCGCCAGTCCGAGGGGGCCTCCACCTAACAGGAGTGTAGAGAAATCTGGGTCAGCAACAGGGCAGAGAGGGGAGGAGAGAGGAGGAAGGGAAGGAGGGAGGAGAGGGAGCAGCAGCCCGGCCACCCAGCCCTGAGCCTGTGAGGCCATGGGGACAGGCCCATGAAGACTGGCCATTTGAAGAGACACCTGGGGTCTAGGTGGACCACTGCTGACCCCCGTTACGAGGCTAGAGCAGGCGGACTAAGTGGTCCTCCAGCTCTGCAGGCCCAACAGCTACCTGAGGACAGGGCCGACCCGTCCATCCAAGCCCCGGGCTCCCGGCGCGGACAGAGCGAAACACGGTACCTTCTCGCCTGTGAAGAGCAGCATCCCAGACATGGTGAAGATGTACAGGTGCAGCGCCAGCAGCAGCAGGACACTGGGGGGGCGCGGGCACTCAGACAGGAACCACGCCCCGCGCACCCAGCGGGACGGGGTCTAGGGACAGCCGCCCGAGCACTCAGGGAGCTCCCTGCCCCCGAGCCTGACCTGCGCTCACTACCGTCCTGTCCTTAGGGAGCGCTTTCCCCAGCAGGGACCATCAGTACCCTTGGGGCATCATCTGGGGGTCCAAGGACCCCTGGACTCTCAGAGGGGACGGCCACATCCATCCATCTGGGCTGGACAGCGAGGGCCAGCCACGTGAGCCACCGGGGGAAGCAGACCAGAGGCAGAGGGAGGCCAGGGGACAGAGAACGGAGGCAGGTTGCGGGGGGAATGGGAGGAGACGGGGAGAGGTGGTCACGGCCCCAGCGGGGATGGCTGGGAGCTCCCACAGGGCCCTGCAGCTGTCAGGCAGAGGCTCCCAGACCACTGAGGGGCTGCCAGGAGGCCCCCGGACACCCACCCCCTGGCCTCCAAGGCTGGGGCCAGTCGTGCCCCAGGCCGCAGTCCCGGCGCGCCCGAGGGCGGCACAGGGAGCGCCCACCTGGCCATCTCCGGCAGCGACGACCGGATACACTTGAGCGTCTTCTTCATCATGGACGAGTTCTGCATCAGGAAGAACGGCCGCAGGAGCCTGCGGATCCGCAGCCGCTGGAAGACAGCGGGAAGCAGCTCCGCACCCAGGCCTGAGACTGGACCTGCCGAGGGGCCCCCCCAGACCCACTCGGACCCCTCCCGGCCAGCCGCTCCAGGCCCCAGCCCCCCACCTCCATGCTCCCCAACTCCCACTCCGCAGCCTCCCCCTACCCCTGCCAACGGGCCACCCAGCTCCCATCAGCCCTGCAGCGCCATGGGGGGCTCCACACCGCCCTACAAAGCTGTCTGTCCCACGGGGTGGGGGTGGGGGACTGCTCCACGCTCCTGGCTCCTCCCCCGCCCCACCCTCCCATCTGCAGCCCGGCTCCCTCCCGCACACATGGCCACCAGGCCGCACTCTGCACCCTGCAGCCCCCGCCCACAAACACACACACGTGCACGTACACCCACACACACACGCCCTCCACAAGCACAAACACACTCCGTGGGCATACCCTGCACGAACACACCCTCCACGCACATGCACGCAGGCAGGCGCACACACACACACACACACACACACACACACACACACAGGGGCACGCGCACAGGCCCCGGTGTCCTCCTTCCCCTCTTCCTGTCAGAACCAAGGAGGGGCCCTCCCACCCCCACTATCTGCAGGACACCCCAGCCCTCTTAAGGGCTTCCCTCGGGCGTCCCTTCCTCCTCCTCCACTAGCTAACACACCACCCATTCTAAGACCCTGCCCCCCACGCCCCCACCCCTGCCCCAGCCGGTCCTCTTGTCCGGGGCGCTGGCCCCAGCCTCAGAGACCTCTGGGCCTGGGTATGCCCAACGCCTCAGGCCAGCTCCCCCATACCTGACCCCCGAGTGCTGACACCCAGAGCCCCTTCCTCCCCTCTCTAGCCTCTCGCCTTGGGGAACTTGTCAAGCCATATGGTTATTTGCTTTTTGTGATTTTTTTGGTGATTTGTACCTTTCATATGAAAGCGTTAACACCTCTCTCGCAATCACCCCACCTCCTCGGCCATGTGGTTTTAAGTGTCACGTTAAATCACCGCGCATCTTGTCATAGAAGCCCAGCTGACCGTGTCCCCTCCCTGCCCAAGGCCGAACGACTGGCCTGGAGGCCCACTCTGGCCCGTCCAGGGGGCGCCACCCGCCGTCCTGCTGCCTGCAGCCCTCAGGCCACCCCTCTGCTCAGCGAGCAGACTGTCCTCGTCCCTCCCAGGCCAGCATAAATGCCACCCCCTCCAGCATGGCACCCATGGCACTCCAAATGCCACGACGTACCTGGGGTTTCCTCATTCTAGAGGGCTCTCTCTCAAGAGAACGAGGTCCCACCAGCACGGGCACACGGCAGACCCTCCAGGTCGTCCACAGGATACGGGAGCCCAAGGCCTGACTCAACCTCCCTGGGCTACACACATTGTCAGAAGGGGGCCCCGCTCTCAGCACAGGACCAGAAAGCCCCAGGAAACATCAGTAAACGGACACTCACGGCTCTGCCCACTGCCCCCCTGCGCCCGTGCACCCGTGGGCTGAGGGACCAGTGTCCCCAGCTCACCCATGACCCGCTCACGGCCCCTGGATGGAACCTCGTCTCAGCAACCACATCCTGAGTCTCGGCCACCTCCCTAGGCCAAGTGGCAGCTGAAGGTCCTACTGGCACCCGCACCAGGGTCCTGGACCCTTGCCTGTAATCACAGACCAGGGTGCAGCTCGCCCCTCCTGCCAAGAGCCCTCCCCATGCTGGGGCCACATCAGGGTCATGGACACAGGGACGTGTGACCTTTATGAAGGACGGGGAGGGACAGCCGCAGGACTCAACGCTGATGAGCAGCTGGCCGGGGCCCGGAAGCCCCTGACGAGGCCCCCAGAGTCACAGCCCGCCAACAAACCTGCAGAGGCCTCGCCTCCCACGAGAAAAGAGTCGTGACCACAGCCTACCCAGTGACCGGTAGACCCCACGTGATCTGACCTCCGGGCCACAAGGTAGAAACAGAGAGACTAGGCTGGAGCGGGGGGGAGGCCCCTAGTCCCTCTGCGCCCTCCCCCGCCTGGTGCCCGTGGTGAGTTCCTTAGGACCGGCCAGCTGGCCACAGGGAAGGCCACAAAGACCTGGTCTATGGACGGTTCTGGGTGACGTGCTGAACCCACCCAGAAGTGGACCGTGTGTGGCGCTACGGCCTCCATCAGGAAAAACTGCCACAGGGGGTGCTGAAGGGAAAGCATTTCAGCGGGTTAGGGTCTAGCCTGTCTGTACCGAGAAAGAGAACAACTCCCGCAGGGTGGTCAGGGCACAGAAAGAACAGACCCGAACAGTGGGGAAAGGTCTGAGAAGTGTGTGCGTGGACGGACAGAGGGAACGCCCACAAGACAGAGCGACATGTCCTGTAATGTCCGAGCCTTTGCCCCGAAGGCCACCACAGATGGCCTGCCCTCTAGAAGCAGAGCCCAGCTCCGCTCACCCACCCCAATGTGGCCGCGGCAGCAGGGCAGGTGACTGCAATGGGCCCCTTCCCTGGGCAGGGCGCTGATCTGTCCTCACTGGACAGCCAGGCATGTGGGTTAGGGCCCTGCCTGGGAGCGCCCCAGGACCACTATCTGAGTCTCAGGGGCCATGCGGCTTCAGACCAGCCCACGGCACTCCACGGCTTACACCGCCCCACCCCGAAGGGTTCGATGGCACGAGGCGGGCTCAGGGACACCAGCCCTGGGAAGCAGCGCCCGGTGGCCCCAGGACGTGCACCAGAGGCTCCGAGCACCAGGACAAAACAGAACGGCCATCCTCCACTCCCCAGTCACAGTCCAAGGCCCTGCTGCTCTGGAAATGGCCACCCCGTGGACAGACATGCCGTTAAGAGTCAGGAAAAGTAGGGTGGGATGCCGGTGGCGGGGGGAACACCACTCCCACTGCCGAGGACAGTGCTGCAGCACAGAGGTGCAGGGAGGTCTGGGTCGGGGCTCCTGAGGCACAGCCAGGAGAAAGACTATCAGAAAACTCCGGGACTCCAAAAACAGGACCCCTGAAGACACAGACTGGCCAGGAATGAAGGTCTGGGTCCCTTTTCGAGGGGAAGAAGCCACAGGAGCAGGGAGCCAGCTGCGGCCAAGGGCACGGGGAGCCTGAGCAGGAGGAACCCAGAAGGGCCACACCAGCAACAACACAAGCCCGAGGGGCTGTGCGCGGCCTCCCTACCTGTTGCACAGACACGGGTTTGCACATGTTCGTGCAGCTCTTTCCTGCGAGGAAGTGGGAGGCGGGCACCGAGCCGGCCACCCTGCCAGCAGCTCTGCTCCCCTTCGGCAGCCCGCTCCCTCCTGCCAGTGAGGGCACTAGGGAGAGGCTGGGAGACCAGAGGAAAATACACGACTGCTCTCTGTCTCCTTGTTGGCCCTAGGGCAGTGCCCACGCGGGGGGCTGCCAGCCTCCCTTTCCTGCAGTCTCTGGAAGGGTCTGGGTGCTCTGCCCCCCTCCAGGGCCTGGAGGGCGGGGCCCCACTTCTGGGGGCCCCTCCCCTGAGCTTCCTGCAGCTTCCGCCCCACCCCCGTTCTGCTCTGTCGGTTACTCAACGCCTGTTTAAGCTTCTATACAAATTCTCTTGGCTAAAGCACCTGACGGGCTCGTGTGCCCAACTGTTCCTGATGGACACGGGTGTCCCCACACCAAGTCTCCCCGCTGCTGTCCTATCCGGTAACCGGGCAGTGCATCTGGGTGGGGGGCAGGACGGGACACTCGGCTAACATGGACTCTCCCACAGCAGCACCCCCAGAGGTTTGGGCACATGGCCAGGGCAAGGCCCCGGGGACGGCGGGGATCCAGCCGTTGGACGAACTGGGCTGGAAAAGGGCAAGGCAGGAATCAGGGGTCCTTGTGCCCTCCCCAGGCCTCAGTGCCTCCTTCTGCAAGATGGGACACGGCCCCATGGCCCGATGGCTGACTGGAGGGCTAGGAGGGCGGGCAGAGCTGGACAGGGGGCAGGCCGCCCAGAGCTCCCCCCCCTCCCCGCTCCGAGCCACCGCACCACCTACCTCCTGGCAAAGCAGACTCAGCGACACGATCCAGTCCGTGAGAGACACGACCAGCACCGCGAGGTAGGCCAGCAGCCAGGGGTTCATCCGGAACTGGGCCCACCCAACCAGGTAGCTCTGCAAGAGGGGCAGGGGGTGAGCGGGCGAGCAGGCAGCCCCGCAGCCACCAGCCCCGCAGCCAGCCCCAGCCTGTCGGCGCACACAGGTGAGGCCGGGGCAGCCAGAGCAGGGGCGCTTCGGCGGCCGGTGTGGCCTCCATGTGACCTGGGGAGCAAGAACCTGAGCTCCCCGCCCGGCCTGCCGGTGACCTCGGACAGCCAGTGATCCTGGGCTCAGCACTTAACCACGCCTGCCCGCTTCCACGTCAGTAACGGGGGCCGAGCCGTCCTGCCCATCCCAGCCGTCAGCTTAGCTTATGCCCAAGAGCCACTCTGGAAAAGAACCATTCTGGTGGGGCGCCTGGGTGGCTCGGTGGGTTAAAGCCTCTGCCTTCAGCTCAGGTCGTGGTCCCGGGGTTCTGGGATCGAGCCCCACATCGGGCTCTCTGCTCAGCAGGGAGCCTGCTTCCCTTCCTCTCTCTCTCTGCCTGCCTCTCTGCCTACTTGAGATCTCTCTCTCTGTCAAATAAATAATAAAATCTTTAAAAAAAAAAAAAAAAAAAAAAACCCAAACCCCCTCAACACATCACAAGCTGAAGAAACCATGCAAAGCTGCCCACGGCCTCAGCGTCAGCTGCAGGACAGCCCAGCAGGAGCCGGGCAAAGGCACCCCGGACTCTGGGGACAGCCCGAAGCACTGTGTGGCCAGCGGTGTCCCGGGGGCCCAGCCCCAGAGTTGTCTGATAAAGGCAGCACGAGACCCGCGGCCAAACCTGGCCTCTCGGCCCCTCTCCTCTCACAGGGAAACCATTAGGGCTCTCAACTTTTGACACGGCTCAGAACCTCAAATGAGCGAGGCCAGGCCCACCCCAGCTTCTGAAAGGACTCGGGTCAGACAGAATCTAGAGTCAGACACACACCACGTGGCAACAGGCCCCTTTCCGCCCCACGCCCGCCTCCTCCCGTGTTCCTCTTCTCTTGGGGGTGGGAGGCTGGGCAAGAGAGAGACCACTGGCCCTGCCTTGTTCTACTGGGGTCTCTCCTCACAAGGGCACCGCCAGACCCTCGGCCACCCCCGGAGGTCCCACAAGGTCATGCACCCGACAGGCAGAGCCCAGACTCAGTCTGGTCTGGAGAAGGCGGAAGCAGACAGAGCCTCTGTTTCAATGACCAGAACTCTCCACCCACCCAGGCCTCTGCTCAGGGGGTCAAAGTGCAGTCGGAGAAAAAGGCAGCTGTCTCCAGGAGGGTAAATGAATCAGGAAAGCAGTGGACCGGCCCGGAGGGCGCTGGCCCCTGGGCTTTGGCCCCTGACGGCGCCCACCTCACCTTCACAGAGACGTCGGCCACAAAGACCAGCAGGCAGAGCACCTCGACGCCCTCGGTCAGGCCGCAGGGTGGATCCCAGGGGGCCGAGCGGTAGCGGATGTCCGCGGTGCTAGTGAGCGAGGAAGGGCTCTCGATAAAGGCCAAAAACAGGATCAAGAAAATGGTGAGGCTCAATATCCTGAAAAAAAGAAAAGAAAAACCAACAAAAACTAATTAAAATGCGCGCACCAGCAGGGCTCTGGGCCAAAAACTAGATCTGCAGGCGGGATGCCTGGGAAGCAAGGACAGACTCCATGGCTTCAACAGGCAGAGCCCACACCTCCCGGTCTGTGGCCGCTCTCGCGCGGTCACATGCCAGTGCTCAGGTCACAGCTCGATGGCCAGGCCTGGAGCTCACCCCCAGGAGAGCCCCTCTTTCCCCGGGCAGGGCTCCGTTCCCAGAAGGTGGGGAAAGCGGCTCCTTATCCGCCACAGGGAGGGGGAACCCGCGTGGACCCTGAGGCCGGCCTCCCCGCACCCAGCCAGGCCGTGGGAACGCCCTGCTGCACGCGTGGGCCTTCTCACCATTGGCACGTGTTCGAGTAATACAACCGGTAAAGCCACATCGACCTGACGTCCATGCGGTGGTTAATGGAGCGATACTGAAAGTGAACATCACACGGGGGGGCGTGAGCGGGGGTCCCCTCGGAGCCACACACATGGCCAGCCACAGACTGGGCGCCCACTGGCCCCACGACAGGCCCCCAGGCAGCGAGACGTGCCGCAGGCCAGAATCTACTTCGGTGGCACACGTGGACAAAGGGCTGTCTTGTGACCCCGCAGGGCACCCGAAGCCCCACGGCCCCGCCCGGACGCCCACTTCCTAAAGTACAACTGCACCCGCTGCCTGCCTGTGAGGGTCCCCACTCTGCTCTGCAAGGCCCCCCGCTGTGTCACTCTCCAGGCTGCCCCCCCGGCCTAGCCCCCCACGTGGCCCCTTCCATATCCTATTTCCCGAATCGAGCCTGGATGTTGCTTTCCAGCAGGGGACATGGTCTGACCATCCCTGGGCGTCTTCCGTAGGCCCCGGGAGAGGCAGGCACAGGCCAGGCTCTCAGCAGGAGGGAACTCAACAAAACAAGTGATCGATTCTAGGACCTAGCGCCCACCTGCTTTAGGGAGGATTCCAAGCGACCCGTCCCCAAAGGCCCCATTGTCATGGCTATGATGACCACATGGTTCAGCCACCAAGGCCCCTGCCCCAGGACAGCAAGGAGGGGATCAGCAGGGCGGCCATCACCCAGTGCCCACAAACGCCTGGAGACCAGCCCAGACCCAGCCACTGGGAGCAGGTGGCGCCCACCTGGATCGCATCTTCGATGAAGACAGCAGCCTGGTCAAAGCAGAGGTCCCGCCAAGACGCGGCACCTGCGGGCAGAGAAGCCACACTGGGTGACAACGTGGACCACGGGATGCTCGCCTGCTACGGGACCACTGAGACCGAGGAAAGAACCTGCAGGCATTCTTTTCCCAGGGTCTGCAGTGAGATGCCTTTCGCCCTGCAGCAAGTCCGCACAGGCGCGGCCCCAGGCCTGGCCCGGCACACAGAGCGTGCTCCGTGAGCGGGCCACTGTGGCCCCCTCCCGCCGTCTTCACCCCCCAGCAGCTGGGGGGTGTCAGGGCACAGGAGGATGGATGTGCCCCACGGGGGCCCCCACAGGCTCCCGACTATGAGAGGCCTTTGGGACAAGTTGGGCGGCTTGAAGCCTCATCCCAGCATCCTCACCCCCAGCCCATCAAGGAGCCAAAGGCTGCTAGGTCAGTCCTTGCAGCCTTGGGATCCAGCCACCGCTCACGGCCAAGTGCCCCGTCTGCAACAGAGGAACCCCATGGCCTGCGGTCCAGGAGAGCGGGTGCAGCCCAGGCAGTCCCGGCCCTGGGGAGGTCAGGGGGAGCCGGCACGCAGCCCCCAGCAGCCCCCAGGGCGGGGATTGGAAGCGGGGCTGCTTCTGTTGAACACCCTCCTGTCACCTCTGGTCTTTCTGCGCCAGCAGCACGGGACGGGGAGCAGCAGCTTCAGGCATGCCTCTAGAGCAGAGCTACCGAAGCCACACGCAGGGCAGGCAGGGCAGGCGGCGGGCCACCGTCTACTCCGCCCCCACTCCCGGGGAAGCAGCTGCCCCCATCCTCAGGGCTCCTGGCAGGGGGGGGGGGGTTGGCAATCAGGGAGACAGGGGACCCTGGACAGAAGTAGGAGGCACGACTCCAGCCTGGCTCTGCCATCACAGCGAACACCCACCTCTATATGCCTCAGTTTCCCCCCACGTACAACCTCCATGCTCACCCTGAGGAGCCCTGTAAGTTTTCCCAGGGAGGCTGTGAGGATGCGGACTGCCTGCTTCCCCTGACAGCATCCCGGGAACTGGGATCAGACGGCCCGCTGGTCGGCTCCCTGCTGTACCCACAGAGCCCAGGACCATGCAGGGGTCAGCACATAGTGTCCTCAAAGCTTCTTTATGGTGTGAGTGAATCGCCCTGAGGGGAGGCTACAGGGCAGGGTGGTCTGAGGGCCCAAAAGGGGCCTGGAGTTGCCCAAACCCCAGATGAGAAGATGAGATCGCCACCTGGAGAGATCTAAGCATACAAGCGTCTTAGACAAGAAAAGCCTGTGTGCTCACTCTAGGCGCAGACGCAGGGTGCCGCTGAAGGGGCTCACGTCCAGGCAAGCCGTAACCGGCCAGGGGTGTCAAGCGCCCTGGGAACTGCCTGCACACACCAGACCTCTGGCCTGGGCCTCGGGGTCCCAAACCTCAGAAAGGCCTCCCTACCTGTTTCGCACACTCTGACAGCAGCAGGCCAGAGGAACCTTGTCACAAACCCTCGGTCGTGAGCATGTCACAGCTTCCCACGAGTCCCCAGTGCTCCTGGACAAAGTCCACACTGCCCCCAGCTGGCACTACGGCGCCCACCTCACCCACCCACCGCTCGTCCTGCTGAAGCCTCACCCTAAGCCCTCCAAGCCCTTGCCAAGGCCAAGTTCTCCCAAGACTCCAAGCCCTGGCTGAGGCTGTTGGCCCTACCAGGAGGACTACTTCCCCTAAGCGGCGATCAGCGGGCACACCAGGTCAGAGCGTCAGGGCAGAACATCTGCCGAAGACAGCGGAGGACAACAGGGGTTCAAACACTGTGTCTCCCAGCAGCCCAGGGCCAGTCTCTCTGCCCCGAGCCCCCCCCTCCTTCCTGTTCCAAGCTCCACCCTGCACGACCTGCCTGGAGCCCCGACGAGCTGCCTGATGACTCTGGGCAGGCCGCCTCCCCTCTGTGCCTCAGTTCCCCCTCACAGGTCAGACACAACCGGATGGCTGTGCAGACTGCATGGGCCGCTGCAGCTCCCGATGCTTTTACTCCAGAAGCCCCTTCCAGTGTGGCGCTCCCTCGTCCTCTGACTTTTCCATGACCAGAAAGAGGGTGACTCCCCGACCAGGAATGAGAAGAGGAAACAGCTACTGTCCCCTGGGGCGGATGAGGAGCGGCTGGGTCAGAAGGACCTGCCTGCAGGGCCTGCGAGGCACCGAGCAGCACAGTGCCCCGAACCATCAGGAGGAGAATCCGACTGCAGGGCTCGAACACCGGGTGCACAGAGCCCCACCTAAGAGCCCCCGTGGGAGGTGAGGGCAGGCCAGCCATTCCCGGCCCCCACACTACGGGCCCCTCCAGGACAGAGAAAGCACAAAAGCCAGAAAAGGAAAGTGCATCTGGAAGGAACACCCAGCATGACACCAGCAGCAGCCCCAGGGCAGCCCAGCGCTGACCTTGGACAGGTCCCAGAGACGCTCTGAGCCTTGCTTTTCTCCTCAGCAAAATGAGGCTGAGGCCCTTCCATCCCTAACCCAGCACCCAACGCTGGACTTCTGCGGGAGACAGATGGACTCCTCCCTCCCGCCGGCGGCCCGCCTCGCCCCGGGATTCAGCAGCTCGGCTGGTAAACAGGAAGGGCAAGAGGGAGCTGCAGAGGGCAAAGGGAGGAAGCTGCCCTGGGCTGGGCTGGGGAGGCCTGCCCCCACCCACGAACCCCAAGCTGAAGGGGGACCAGCCTCTGGGGACAGTCCAGCACCGAGACTGAGAGAGGAGACCGAAACATCTCCCCAGTCAACCCCCAGGAGGCTCGAACCCCAGCCCAGCCACTTCCCGGCTGTGTGACCTTGCTGGGGCAGGGGAACGCCCCGCTCTGTGCCTCAGTTTCCATCATAACCGGGAAGAAAACGGAAGTGCTGCCTCCTAGGGGCCCCCAAGGCGATCAGCGAGGCCTGGGTCCACCCACGGTTCATCGAGGGGGCTGCACGGGGCTGCGGGAGGGCGGCCGGCCGGCTAGGCGACGCATCTCCGGCCGGCTGGTTGGAGGCAGGGCGCGACCCTGCGGCGCGTGGCCGGCCCGGGCGCCCGCTACTCCGCAGGACGCAGCCCCCGTCCTCCGGAGCACGGCTGCCCTCGCTCCCCGCGCCCGCTCGGACCCTGGCCCGTGGGGCGCGACCGCAGTGGCGACGGCGAACGGCGCGGAGCCGACAGGACCCCGTGCGCCACCCCCGCGCCCCGCTCCCCTTTCCAGGCAGCCGCTCACCAGGGCGGCAAGAGGCTGAGCCCGCAGGGCAGTCGCGGCCGCCGTCACCCCGGGCCCGGCTCAGAAGGGGCTCCGACTCCGCTCGGGGGTCCGCCATGGAACCGCCGCGCGCCGCTCGAACCCTGCGGGGAGTGCCGGGTGCCGAGCGCGAGCTCCACTGCGCAGGCGTGGAGGCCCCGCCCCTGGAGGTCGGGAGGAGGAGCTGACGGCGCTGTGACGTTAGGGAATGCCCCTTCTCTACCAGCCAGTAAGAACAGAGGGTCCGCGCGGAGGCGGGGCTCCCCCGGGCCCTGCCTCCCAAGGGGTGGGACTCAGCTTCGTACCCGCAGGGAGGGGTTCTAAGGACTGGGTGGGGCTGGGAGGAACGCCTGCTCGAAGACCCGCGTCAGCAGCTCCTGGGCACCCGTTAGAAAGGCAGATTCCTGGGCCCTCCCCGCCCTGCTCAATCAGAAACTCCGGACAGAGCCCAGGAATCTGTGTTTTGCTTGTAAGCACTAGGTATAGGGGGGTCACGACCAAAGGACATCCCCCAAAAATGGAACTTGAGTTTACCCTCTGGTAATGAACTATGTAAGATTCAATATAATTAAGGGTAAGGTTTAAAAAGACAACTGACACACTTGAAAAAAAGATATTTGCAACATATACGTGAAATGTTTCCAACATTAGCACATAAACAGCTGTTTTCCATTGCTGCAGTAACACATTACTGCAAATTTATCAAAAACACCCTCCACGTATCATCTCTCAGTCCCGGGGGTCAGAAGTCCAGCGGCTAGATTGGGTCCTCACATCGGGGCCTCACAAGGCCAAAGTCAAGTTGTCAGGGCCAGGCTCACTCATGGGCTGGCTAGGGCTGCGGTCCCTGTTTCTTGCTGGATGTCGACCAGGGGTCATTCTCAGCTCCTGGAGACCACCACATTCCTTCCCTCATGGCCCCTTCCGTCATCAAAGCCAGCAAGGGCGCAATGAACCTCTCTCAAGCCTCCAGTGAGACTCTTCAAAAGGCAGCCCGATGCTTCCAACCTGTCCAGCTCCTCCCTCCGCCACATCTCTTTCCCTGTGAAGGCTCCTGTGAGTATACTGGATGCACTGGATTACCCAGGATACTCTTATTTTAAGATCAGCTGATTAGTAACTTTGGTTACATCTGCAAATCCCTTTTGCCAGCTACCCTACCTTAACCACCCGTGCGATGCTGGGAGGATGCTGGGAGGTTGAAGGTACCAGGAACCAAAATTCCACCTCCCACAGAGCTCTTAAAAATCAGTAAGAAAGCTGATCGATGGCTCAGTCGGTTAAGTGTCTGCCTTCAGCTCAGGTCATGATCTCTGGGTCCTGGGATCTAGTCCCACATCGGGCTCCTTGCTTAGCGGGGAGCCTGCTACTCCTTCTCCCTGCCTCTCCCTTTGCTTGAGCTTGTGCGCTCACTTGCTCTCTCTGGCAAATAAATAAAATCTTTATTTAAAATAAAAATTTTTTTAAGAAAAAGATTACATCCTCCTTAGGTGGGAAAGGAACAAAGGACTTGAAATTATTGTCCCATCAATATCTTAATTCTTATCAAAATTTGGTCATTGTCCATCCCCCTCCATTCACCCTTTTATCTATTATTTTTACTCTTTTATTTATCTTAAGTTTTCTTCCAGTTGATTAAAATTTACTCATTTCCTGAATTTTATTACAATCAATCAATAAATGTCTGCAAACCCAAACGATGTGCCACTTATGCTTTTTTTCTAAGCCCTTTAAAATAAATACGTGTGTTGGTTATCTACTGCTGCGTAACAAATAATCCCCAAACTTCTTGGTTTAAAAGAACATCAGTGACCTCTCACTTTTTCTTAGACTGGAACCTGAATGCAGCTTGGCCAGGGACCTCCAAGACTGAGTCTCCCGCAGGCTGCAGTTGAGGGGTCCGTCAGGGCTGCGCCCATCTTGAGGCTTGAGGCTCAGTCAGTGGCTGTTGGCTGCATTCAGTTCCTCGGGAGCTGTTGGACCAAGAGCCTTGGTTCCCTGCCACATGGTCCTCTCCCTAGGGCAGCTCATGCCAGGGTAGCCAGCTTCATCAGAGCAGGCAAGAGAGAAAAGCCAGAAAGAGAGAGAGGACAAACAAGGTAGAAGTCAGATCCCGTCTAGCCCAGTCCCTTCACCCTTGCTGTGTTCACTGGTGAGATGCGAGTCACCAGGGTCAGCCCACCTTCAAGGGGAGGGGCTCTGTGGGGGTCATCTTAGATGGGTGCCTGCGGGGGTGCCTGGCTGTCTCACTCAGTTAAGTGACTGACTCTTGACTTCAGCTGGGGTTGTGGTCTTGAGGACCTGGGAGCAAGCCCCAAGTTGGGCTCTGGCTCAGCGCAGAGTCTGCTTGGAGATTCTCTCCCTCTCCCTCTCCCTCTCCCTCTGTCCCTCCCCTCACTCTCACGCTCCCTCTCTCTCTCTAAAATTAAGGATGCCTGCTGTGATAGGTGACAAGGCTTTAACATTAATTCCTGTGCCCATAAGGTCATCTCTCACACCACAATTATCTGTCCTCATGTCCATCCTGTGAGCCAAGACAGCTGTCACTGCCCCTCGCTGGTGGATGAAGGCGGGGGGCGGGGGGGGGGCGGTGGCATTCCTCCTGAGGTGGCTTCACCCAGTGGGCTAGAAGCTCCATGTCTGAACACAGCCCTGGCCAGCCATTCACTCCGTCCCCGAGCACAGGAACCCCAGGTGGGAGAGGAAGGAGTACCAGGTGGGCAGGCCATAGCACACCAGGTCTGGGGCAAGGCCAGGCTGGGCCCTGGCACGGCTGGGATTGTAAAATGAGACCTACCCCAAGGAGGCACCAGGGCAAAGTCAGAGCCGGTAGCGTGCAGAGTAGATGAGAAAGGGAGTGCTTGGCCCAACTCCAGGCAAGAAAACAAACCTGAGATTCACCCGGGGACAGCGGCCTCCTCTCTCCCTCCTCCCCCTCCATGCACAGAATTAAAAAGCCCACACACCACCACACAGCTGTGTTTCCAATGTCTCTTTGTTGCCAGTGCTCCCCGGAAGCTGCAGCGGAGAAAACGTCCTCTCGGTGGGGACACTGACTCCGGCTCAGCCCAAGGATCCCTTCATGCCTCTCACACCAGGGCCACTGTTGGAGGCTTACACCAACAACAGAGCATTTTCTCCCAAGACCCCCAACCGGCGGTGGCTTGAAACTTGGTTTGAATGTCAGAAATGTCCCCTCAGTTCCCAAACACGTGCCGGGGAGTAGAGGGGCGCTCTGTGACTTTGGGCAAGGTGTCAGCCAACTGATTTCACAGGGAGATTAATGGGAACTTCCTAGTGAGGCTGAAGGGGTGTAGGGGAGATCCCAAGAGGGGCCCAAATGTCCTTGCAGCCTGGAGACACCCCCCATCACAGGTCAGGCTCCCTGGGCCTGCTCTAGACGCTTCTGGGTCATGTTCCTTGCTTTCCTGGCTACCTCCGGCCCACCGCCCACCACGGGGCGGGGCTCCCCGTTAGCCACACAGGCAGTGAGCATGCGCCCACATCAGTCTTTCTAAAGGTGGCTTTGATGCATCCGTTCACTCATCCCTCCTATGGAGCACGGACAGCATGCAGGACTGGCCTGGGCACCACCCAGGAACACCGAAGGTGCTCAGCGGCTCGTTCGAGTCTGACCTCATATCCCTCCACAGCTCCGACCTCGTGAGCTCAGTGGCGCCTTGCTGGACCTCGGTTTCTGCACCCATAACGTGGGGTTAACAAGCCAGTGCAGACTCCCAGGTGTGCAGGGAGAAGGGACACACAGCAGGGCCTCAGTCCCCGTTGCTACTCTTCCCCCAACTTCCTTGTATTCCACGTCTGTGAGAAACAGCAGCCTCTGAAGGTCATGAAGGATCCCCAAGTCCTGTGTCACTCTTCAGTCCCAAAACTACTGCTGCGGACAAGGCGGCAATTATCTCCCTGGTGTGCTTGGGGAAATGGAGGCTCAGAGGGGCCACGGGTCCGCCCGCGGCCACACGGTGGGTGGGACACAGAGCTGCCAAGCCTGGCCAGAGCCTGGGAGAGCTGAGCCCGGGGCCATCTGCAGGGGCGCTGGTGAGCTAACCCCTCCGCAGTGCCCTGGGGACAACCCCCTCTGGAAAAACCAGATCCTTCCCAGGCCAGGCCGCCCCTGCTATTTTCAGTTCTCTCACACGTGACCCAAGCGACAAGAATCCGGGGAGACCCAGATCATCTGTCCTGTTGGGAATTGAATTGCCTGGGGTGGCAGCCAAGGGAGGGATGGTGTGGAGGGCTTAGGGTCCGTGGGGCAGAGGCAAGGGCAGGCAAGCGTGGAGCTGAAGGCCAAGCCTGGAGCGCAGGGTTGCAGTGAAGGCCTGAGGGGAGCCCGGGGTGCAGTCCCTGGCATGGAGTTGGAGTGGTTTGTCCAGATGCAAGTGGAGAAGCAGATCAGGGACAGGAACGAAGCTATAGAAGGCACATTCCCAGCTGATAGCAAAGGGCTCGGTTCCGGTGAGAACCTCGAACCAGAATCCCCTCTAGGGGTGAGGAAGCCAGGTGTTCCCACAACTGCCCCGCAACACTGGCCATTGGCTGGGGCCGCTCGAGGGCGCGGTCCTCGAGGCACTGGCAGGGGTCACCACCAGCCTGCTTAGATCCGGGAGCCCGGATGCTACCACCCCACTGGCAGCCGCTGTGACGGGCACGCACACCCCTGCTCGCTGGGCACCCCCTTGTGCCGGCACCGGGTTCAGCCAGGAGCGCCCAGGCCAGGCCTTCTCTCTCCCGGAGGTGGTGTCCCATCAAGGAAATGGGAAACAAGGAGAGCACGCCGGGATATCAGGAGCTCACAGGGCCTTCCGCACAAACGGGCGAATGACGGATAAACAAAAAGGAGCGTGCTGGAGCAAGGGGATGGTATTCAGCCGTAGAAAGGGATGAAATGCCGAGCCTGCTCAGTGGAAGAAGCCAGATCCACTTGTGGAAATGTCCAGAACAGGAAAGTGCACAGAGACAGGTTAGGGGAGTCAAAGCCTGGAAGAGGGAGGGTGGACACAGACTGCTAATGAGCTCAAGGTTTTTTTTGAGATGATGAAAGCGTTCTGGAACCAGTCAGCTGTGGTAGCTGCACAACCA